GAGTATGCCTTGTACAATGATAGCATGTATTGACTGATGCCCTGAGACTCCCCCCGTGTTACTCTTCATCCAAGTGCTACACTGTCCAGTGACTACACATCCGCAACTAACCCCGCCATCTCCTCCCTGCTCACTCTCCTCTCAGTGACATACTTCCCCAGAGTATCCGCCCACTGCTCGGAGAGAAGACAAGCGAGCAGGTGTTTGCAGCAAGGCACACCGCCATCATCCACGCCGTCCAGGCTCAGGCCTCCAAACCGCCAGTCGCTCGCCTCGCGGTTGTCGTCCCCCCCGTCCTTCTCGACTTCATCTGCGCCCATGATGACCGGGTCCGAACGTACGTCGCGGCCCCCGCCACCGCTGCTGCCGCCGCTGCCGCCGCTGACGACCGCCGGAAACGCTTCGTACGCAAAGTTGGCGCAGGAGCAGTTCCAGGCGTCGAGGTGGACGAGGTACGTCGTCGACGCGGAGGCTGATGCCGCGACGGCGTGGTGTCTGCGGGTCATTGTTGAGGCTACGGAGCGGACGAGGTGGAATGCGGCGGCGGCTGACGGAGCTTGGTTTGTTGCTGGTGGGAGGCGGGGTGGTGGTGGTGACCCCTGTCCATCGGCGGCCGCTTCGGACGCGGCGTCGTTGGGATTGATACCGGGTTGACGTTGGCGGGCGGCGGGTGCGGGGTTGGCGGGGTTGTTTCCTTCTCGGCGGTCGTGGCCGCGGCCGAGGGCGGCGGAGGGAGGGGTGGTGGCCTCCGGGACCGCGCGGGTGACGAGGTTCCGGTCTAGGAGGTCCAGGGCCGGGAGAACGAGGGAGGGAAAGAGGACGTGGAGGGTTACCAGGAGCGGACGGTGGGATTGCGGGAGGGTTTTGAGGGGGTTTGCTGCGTCGGCTGCGGTGTTTCCTGGCGGTGGTAGAGGGGCCGAGGTGAGAGAGTTGATGAGGTTGGTGATGAGGACGCGGGGTGTCGGCAGGGTGTCTGGCTGCGTTGATGCCGGTGAGAAAGAGGACATGGCGTAGCCCTTCTCGCCCTGCTTCTGGGCTGCGAGTATCGTTTGGTTTGTTGTTGGACGATGACGGTATTGAGAGATAGAAATTGCGGTTCACTGAGCGAGGTTTGTAATGTGCTGCCTGGTTCACAGGTGTGAGGCTCATCAGCCAGAGCTCATAGTCACCGAATTTGGCTCCGGATTGTACGCCCTATATGAGATGGAAGTCTGCATTCCCCAGCTTCGCCACAAATGAGGTTCTTATCAGTCGAATATTTGACCGAAGCTGGAATACCAAAACTCCGAAGCAATCAGGACGCAAGGTGATGAACAGAAGAAAATGTCTCTTTTGAGTTTTGCCGCCTCACAGCTTTTGTCTAATAATCACATTATGTCCGCCGCAAAATTTGGCATAATCTTACAGCAAATATCGCTTGCATCCGGTGCTCCGTAACCAGGTTCCCTCTTCTCCCCCTTCCCCTATTTCTTCAGCCCTTTCTCTAAACCCACTCCTTGGGCGCTCTGAGGACATCCACGAGGCGCTGCTCGCGGCTCTTGGGCTCGGGCTCATGCATGTACTTCCAGCTGGCCGTCAGGGGCAGACTCATGAGGATACTCTCGACTCTGGAGCCGGGGGTGTTGAGGCCAAAGGCGGTGCCGCGGTCGTGGACAAGGTTGAACTCGACGTACTTGCCTCTGCGAATCTGCTGCCAGTCCTTCTCGGCCTCGTTGAAGGGCATGTCCTTTCTCTTCTCGAGGATGGGGAGGTAGCCGGGCAGGAAGGATTTGAGGCAGTCCTGGATGAAGGCAAAAGTGTTCTCGCGGTCCTTTTCGGTCTCGTCGAGGTCGTCAAAGAAGATGCCGCCGACGCCGCGGCACTCGCCGCGGTGCTTGTTGTAAAAGTACTCGTCGCACCACTTCTTGAAGCGCGGGTAGTAGCTCTTGTCGTGCGAGTCGCACGTCTCCTTGAGCGTCTTGTGGAAGTGCACAGCGTCCTCGTCAAAGAGGTAGGACGGGGTCAGGTCGCTGCCGCCGCCGAACCACCAAGCCTGGGAGGTGCCGTCGGGGTTCGACGTCTCAAAGTAGCGGTAGTTGAGGTGGACCGTCGGGGCCATGGGGTTCTTGGGATGCAGGACCATGCTGAGGCCGGCGGCGAAGAAGGGGAGGGATTCGACGTTGTCGTCGAGGTTCTTGTGGTTCACACGCATCTTGGCGATGGCGGGCTTGGGGAGGGTGCCGTAGACGACGGACACGCCGACGCCGCCCTTCTCAAAGACGTTGCCGTCCTGGAGCACGCAGGTGATGCCGCCGCCGCCCTCTTTCCGGTTCCATTCGTCCTTGCGGAACTTGGTGCCGTCGACCTTTTCGAGCTCCTTGACGATGATCTGTTGCTGTTCCTTGATGAACTTTTCCATGCGCAGGCGCATGGGCGAGTCGACGGTAACTTCGGACTCCCGCTTGGTCAGGGCATCGCGCTCGGCCAGGGTCGGCGGATCGAGTTGGAAGGGTTCTTGGACGGCCTGGATCGGAGAGTGATGTTAGCGACGGGGGTGCTTTGATGCATCAATGGGAAAGGCGGAAACTCCGGCATTGGGGAAGGTATTTGGGTTCGTGGTGGTGAAGGGTATATGTTGCAGTACCATCTTGTAGGCGATGGGAGCTGCAGCAGCGAGACCAATTGCGCCAATGAGGAAGCGGCTATAAGCGGCACCGGATTGTTGACCCTTGAAATGGGACTTTGAAGAGGAGGAGACGAGTCTGCGACCGAATTGAAGCTGTGGCTGCTTGGTTGTGATGGCGATTCTAGTTCGAGAGCTGGCGAATTGTGCAAGCAACCTCTGTGATTGCTTTGTGGATGCCATGATGGGCGACAAGGAATATAAATACAAACTCTATAATGGGAACGAACAACGAAGAAAGGAGCGACTTGGGTTGTTACAGGGAGGGAAAATCGGATGATTCGTTCTCAAGTGAGAGGCATAAGACCACTGGGTTGCAATCATGGACTGACTGGAACGTCGTTCGAGGATTGAGCCAGTCAGGCCAGCTGTAAAAGTAAATTCCGAAATCGTTCCACGTTGGTTAGGTGCGGGACCCCTGTCGCCCTTGCGCCGACCCAACGGAGCAGCACTGCACCTCAGCACTGGAGCTGTCCATCCAGCGCATCCACAGCCTGGACCGGGCTCTCTGCCGGCTCTGGGCCGCTGGAGAGGTGGGGTGAGGACCAGTGAGTCCGAGAATTGTGTATGTGACGCCGAACGCCGGACATGCTTCAACGGACCAACACGCGGTGAGGAAATGCCCCTGTATTGTTGCATGCTTATTTGTAGCTGTCATAGACCTGCAAAGTGATGGCCTTCGTCCAACCATACAGCAGTTTGGCTTTTCAATCCATCAGGCCAAGAGGCGTAGAACTCTTCTATGCCCTTGATAAGGTAGGTAGGTAGGAAGGGTAGCTCGCGTTCGCTCTCCTTCTGCAAGGTAAGCGGAAATGCAACCTTGGGTGCGCGGGGTGGAATGCCGGAATCTTCTTTTCCTCTCACAGAATCAATTTAAGTCTTGAAACACCTAAGTGTCTCTTTCAGAATCATTTCATCATATATATGTATTCACACTTTTTCGTGGCTCTTGACTTGTGTTATCAAGTACATATATAATGAAAAGCAGCACAAGGATGAGAGCTGCCCAGCTGCCATCATGTCGGGAAAGGCAAAAGCGCTTGCATTCGCTTCCAATCTCTCAAGGGGCCTGAGGTCGGTTATCGGAGGTCCAGAGTGGGGTCGCTTAAGTAAGATCGACAGATAAGAGCACTTGGGCCGTGTGGGTTAAAGTCCAGTGACAGTTCCTCTCTGTTGATGTCAACCTGGGACCTGAAGGGTCAATTGTTCCCGTGGTCGCTCAAAGTCCCATTGTGAGTGGGCTTTCGCAAACTGCTTCCCTCTCACCTCTTACTGGGGACAAATGACGTCAAGACGAGGATAGGTAGTCTGCAAAGGCATTGTACAAACTCCCCCGTCCAAGGCTCTGAGTGACAATGCACTTCAAGCGGCTTTGAAGACAACAAACAGCTTTGCATGCACAGACAAGGCCGGCTTGCGTGCACGTATCAGGAGGTTGCGACTACGGTGATCCCGTGAGAGCTTTCAGCGGCTTACAGCCCCGTCTGAAAAGGGAACCAACCTCAGGTAGGCCCCTACTCTTTGGACCTAAGCAACTAAGGTAAGGCCTTACAAGGTACGGATACTCGTACTCCAATAGAATGGGACAGTGTGCCAGGACCTTCTCCTGTGACTCAAATCGGATCCAGAAAGGCGTGACAGGCTGCCAGGCTGTGTCAAGTGGCTGCGTGGACGGTCAGCTGCCTGCCTGTGGTCAATCTTTGCCCCAGCACCCGGAGCACCTGCGCTGGCCTCACAGTCTCACTGCGCCGCTGATTGCTGGGATTGCTGGGATGGCATCGGTGTCTTGCCCCGCTCCGATAATCCGATAAGGATAAGGACGGGAGGACCTGGAGTGCTGGAGTGGGAGGGAGCTGGCTGATGCAATGAGGATGAGGATGGGGAGGGGAGGGGAAGGGGGGGCGTGGGGTTGAGTTGAGCACCTCTCTCTCACCGGCTTAGTCATTCCGCGGCCATCAATGGATGTCACCCACCAGCCAATACACCGCGCAAAGGTACCTGGCTGGGCTTAGGTTCCTGCCTTTCTGGGTGCTCTGCTTTACCAACCAGCCGCCTGAGCCACCCAGACACTTCCAGTCAGTGACCGCCCATTCCCGTCCCCGTGTCTGACCCCAAGGCACCCCAAAGCAGGCGGCAACCGACCATCCATCCTTCTTCTGCCTTTCGCAAACGGCCCCTCGTTACCTCAACTCTCCCTTCTACATACTCCGACGCATCAGGCACCACCAGTCGACAAACATCGAGCCATCTATATCTTGACCCTCGCCCAACTCCCCACGACCAGCCCATCTGCAAACCCACAACCCACTTCCACTTCACCCTCCACATATCCGTCATCATGCGATCCAAGTTCAAGGACGAGCACCCCTTTGAGAAGCGTAAGGCTGAGGCCGAGCGTATCCGCCAGAAGTATTCTGACCGTATTCCCGTACGTCGTGACTCTCCTTCTCTTCGCCCTCATTTCGTGGTTATTCCTCTGTAGTTTCTGTACAGAGATACAGCTCCGCCGTTTCGCCGTAGCTGCATTCGTCAGCTTCGCGCGTTACTGTCGGCTGCCCCACGTTCCCCGACCGTCACCGCCGATCTGCCTATCTACCTCTGGAAGTCCAAAAAACTGACAGCCTCCTCACAACACAGGTTATCTGCGAGAAGGTCGAGAAGTCTGATATCGCTACTATTGATAAGAAGAAGTACCTCGTCCCCGCCGACCTGACGGTTGGTCAGTTCGTCTATGTCATCCGCAAGCGCATCAAGCTCTCCCCGGAGAAGGCCATCTTCATCTTCGTCGATGAGGTGCTGCCGCCTACCGCAGCTCTCATGAGCAGCATTTACGAGGAGCACAAGGACGAGGACGGGTACGTTTCCGACCACTATATTACTTTGTAACAAGCTGTTTGTTGCTAACATGTTGTGTTCAGATTCCTTTACATCACCTACTCCGGCGAGAACACCTTTGGCGACTTTGAGATGGCTTAAGCCCCCGACTTTCTGACGGTCTAGTCACCTCACGGCTTCAGAATGTTCCCGGCGTTTCGGTCTGCTATGTAACGGTTCAGCACTTTTGGAATGGGTTTTCACACGGTTATCGGTCTCCCCCCACGAAGCAGGGGTTTATGAAGATACGCAGTCACGTTGTCGCTCGGAGTCACAGGATCAGGTGCAGCCTCCTGACCTGGTCACAGAGAAACTCCTGCGATGCTTGGGTACAATCCAAGAATTGAAGGCTAGCGGAGGACTATGCATGGAAATTGGCTTCACGGATACTAGGTGGAAACGTTTTCTTAGATCGCATATTCAGTCGCCTTCCATCACCTCTTACTTCCCTTCCCCTATATCTCTCACCTATAACTGTCGTGTGGGCTATGGTGACAATATTCTTGGCATTCTGTATAGCACTTCATTCGTTAGCGCGCCGTGCCAATCCTTGACCTGACCGTTCTTCTTCAAATTTCGTCCATGTATGGAACCAGACCGTTGCGATGATGCCCCCCAAGTTCAGTCGGTATCAGTATCGTGAGTGCCAGAGTACAGTCCACACGCTGAACAGTCCACACGCAGAAGGGACTAAAGTGAAGCGACACAAAACGTGTCGAAGCTATGTCATGCGAGAGAGAAAGGCCCCTGAATGAGACGGTCAAAGAGCCGCAAATTTTGACATGGAGAAAAGGCATGCGGGATACACGAGCTCTCCGAGACCCCGACAGAAGTTGTCTTGTTTTTCTTCGGCTCGCCCCGGCTATTTCATGCGTTAGACGCATCTTCTTTTTTTCGGAGTGTGTTGAGCTTGGATGCTCGGGCGAACAGATGGCACGTCTGAGGGTGAGATGACACGAGCGAGAGACATCAGATTGTTTGGAGCTGCATAGGGGAGGGGGAGGAGAGGGCAACGGACAAAGTACAAAGGCTGTGTGTGATCTGGTCTGCATGGGGCTGAGGTACTTCGTGTTGTGTTCACTACTTTGTTTCTTTGATATGTGGTGGGAAAAAAAAATTGAACTTTGTTTTTGATATTTCACCCAATTCCTATCTATGAACTCCTAACTGATGATGATGGTGATGATGATGACTTTGCGGGGGGCAGAAAATTCCAAAATGGTCCGCCCTCAAAGGGGATAGGGACTTGATATTACACTTTTTTTAAAAAAAAGATTGAGAAAATATGGAACCATGTAACGGAAGAAAAAAAAAAACCAGCTCAAGATTTTGCCTAGTGACCCAGCATTTGCTGCATGGCGTTGAGGCGGTAACTCTCGCTCTTCTCCATGAGCTCCTCGTGCCTTCCCTTGGCGGCGACGGCGCCGGCCTCGACGACGAAGATGACGTCGGCCTTGCGGACCGTGTGCAGCCTGTGAGCGATGGCGATGACGGTGATGCCGCGCGCGGCGCGCTCGAGGCCCTCCTGCAGCGCCTTCTCGCTCTCGGCGTCGAGGGCGGAGGTGCTCTCGTCGAGGAGGAGGAGGCGGGGCTTGCGGACGAGGGCGCGGGCGATGGCGACGCGCTGGCGCTGGCCGCCGGACAGCTGGGAGCCGTTGGGGCCGCACTCGGTGTCGTAGCCCTGCGGGAGGGCGACGATGGTCTCGTGGATGTTGGCGAGGCGGCAGGCCTCTTCGATCTCCTCGTCGGTGGCGTCCTGGCCGGGGCGGGCGCCGAGGCCGACGTTGAACTTGACGCTGCCGTCGAAGAGGGCGCTGTCCTGGGGCACGACGGCGATGTCGTCGCGGAAGTCGGTGCCGTCGAACTTGGAGATGTCCATGCCGTCGATCTCGATTGTTCCCGTGCCGGCGGAGTACATGCGCTGGACGATGGCCATGACGGTGGACTTGCCGGCGCCCGAGGGGCCGACGAGACCGCAGAACTGGCCGGGCTGGATGGCGAAGGACATGTTGTCGAGGATCTGGACCTCGGGGCGGGCGGGGTAGGAGAAGGAGACGTTCTTGAAGGAGACGGCGACGCCGCCGCGGCCCGGGGAAGGGCGCGGGTTGGGGTTGGCGAGGGCCTCGACGTCCTTTTCCTTCTCCTTGCCCTTGGAGGACTCTGACGCCGCGTCGGCGGCGTCGGCGGCCCTGCCTGCCGGGTCGGCGTCGGACTTGCTGAGGTCGAGGAGACTGAAGATTCTGGAGGCGGCCATGCGGGCGCGGGTGACCTCGGGGGCGAGGGTGAACATTTGACCCCACAGCTGGGCGCCGACGAGCATGGCGACGTTGATGATGAGGAACTGCGTCTGCGTGGCGTTACCGGCGACGATCTGCTTGGATCCCCACCAGTAGGCGAAGGCGTAGATGATGTTACCCGTGACGTTGGCGACGGCGAGCCAAATGTTGGCGAAGGTGACGGCCGAGATGATCTCCTTCTTGGGGTCCTTAAGGGCGCGCTTGTACTGGCCAAAGACCTCGTGCTCCAGGGAGAGGGTGGCGACGGTCTTGATGGAGTTGACGGACTCGACGGTGATGCCGACGGCGGTGGCGTAGGCGCCGGCGTGCTTCTCCTCGAAGCGAGAGAGGACGCGGATCTGCATGATGCCGGAGCCCAGGAGCATGGGCACGATGACCAGGCAGACGATGGCGATTCTCCAGTTCAGAATGTGAGAGTAGATGATGGCGACGAACAAGTTGACAACGACGGCGAAGATGGTCCCCATGATGGAACCGCTGAAGCCACCGATGGACGCCGCATCCTTGGTGATGAGAGACAGGAGCGATGAAGGGTTGCGGGCTCCGGACTGGTGCCACTCGAGCTCCTGCTGGAAGAGGGCGCGGAACGAGCCGACACGGATCTTGTACAGGAGCTTCTCGGCAATGTAACCAAAGGCGGACCAACTGCACAAGTTGGCGACGAGTTCGACGCAGGCGAGCATGAAGAAGAGGCCGGCGAAGAAGGCACCTCTGCTCTGGATGTAGCTGGGCTCGTTGCAAGGGCTGGCAACGCCAATGGCGAAACCGAAAATGGTACCAGATGCGCTGAAGGTGCAGCCGACAATGAAGGCGGAGACCATGGCGAGGAGGAGGTAGAGAATGTGAGGGCGGACCATGACGCCAGCCTTCTTGGTGATCCACCAGGTTGACCTGTCGTTGTCGAGACCGCTGTTCTCGGTCTCCAGGGCCGCGTTCTTCTTCTTTTTCTTGAGCTCCTTGGCCTCCTTCTTGAGTTGCTTCTTGGTCTTCTCGGTCACGACAGCATCCGTGCCCGCCTCCGTTTCGATGGCCCTGGCAAGATCCTTGGGGTCGACGCCGGGCGTCTCGGCGTCCACAGAGGCCGCGGACGACTCGACGGCGGTGCTTGCGCGAGAGGGGGCCTTCTCCTCCTCGGAGCCGTTGATGTTTTGCAGGTTGACCAAGTTGGCGTAGGCGCCGTTGCGGGCGATGAGATCAGCGTGAGTTCCCTGCTCCATGATATCACCAGCGCTCATGACAATGATGTTGTCGGCGTTCTTGATGGTGGAGAGACGGTGAGCAATGGAGATGAGGGTTCTGCCCTTGGAGACATTCTCGACAGCCTTTTGAATACGGGCTTCGCTGGCAGAGTCCAAGGCGGCGGTGGCCTCGTCGAGGATCAAAATCTTGGGGTCACGAATGAGAGCACGGGCGAGGGCCACACGCTGTCTCTGACCACCACTGACGAGCTTACCACCACTGCCGACGGCGGTTCCGAATCCATGCTTGAGGCGGTCGATGAAGGAGGTGGCGTCGGCCAGGTCGGTCGCGTTCTGAACGAGCTTGACAATCTCGACAACTTCGGGTCCGTACTTCTGGGCGGCGGTGTTGAGGTCCTCTCCGGCCATTAGATCTTCGGCAAGCTGGGCGAGCTGGGGTCCGTAGAGCGTTTCCTTGAGTCTCTGGTGCTCCTCCTTGGGCGAGTTGACGAGACCGAGAGCAATGTTTTCGATGACGGAGCGGTCGAGCAGGGAAGGTTCCTGCTGGACGAGACTGATGTAACTGCGGACGTTTCTGACGTTGAGGTTGCGGATATCCTGGCCGTCGATGAGGACTGTGCCCTCCTTGGGGTCATAGATTCTCGTGGCAAGGCCGGCAATGGTCGACTTTCCGCTGCCAGAAAGACCGACGATGGCAGTGTACTTTCCACCGGGGCAGACAAGAGAGATGTTCTTGAGCACGTCCGTATCGGGGCGCGAGGGGTAAGAGAAGGTAACTCCGCGAAGTTCAACCTCGCCGTGGATATTGGTGGGCAGTCTGTCACCGTCCTCGGTGACGGAGTCAATAGTGGAGTGCTTGTCGATGTCCTCCCGGAGCTTGACAAAGGCAGCGGCTGCTGATCCGAAAAGGGGCAGCAGAGGTGCGATGGTACCGAGCATGATACAGGCTAGTCGCAGTCAGCAAAGTTGTCCCAAGTAGTATAAAAACGAAGTACATACCGTCGACAATGAGGAACACAACGGTGTAAATGTCACCAACCGAAGTGCCGTCGCCGGTTCCAGCAACCGATCTGGAGATGGCCTTGCTACCTTGCCAGTAGGCGAGGGCGTTCGCAGCGTAGGCGATGAAGTACAAGAGTCCGGCGTTGGAGGCAGCAGCAATGGCCTTCTTGATGCCCTCCTTCTGAGCGACCATGACATGGCCGGCGAACTTGTTCTCGAGGCGAGGTCCGGCGCCAAACGCCTGGACGACGGCGACGTGAGACAGTGCCTCTGAAGCGATGGACGAAGCCTTAGCCATACCCTCCGACATGGCTCCGCTCCATTTCTGGATGTAGCTTCCGCAAATCATGGACGCGAGCAAGTAGGCGGGAATGAGCGAAACCAGCATGCCGGCGAGGGGCGCGTACTTGATGAAGCCGATAACGTACGCGGTGACGAAGAAGGAGATTGTGCCGATGAAGTGACTGACTTTCTCGGACGTTCCGGACTGAATAGTTTGGATATCGGAGTTGAGGCGGGACGAGACCTCACCGGCCTGTCTGCTCTCGAAGAAGCCGACATCCTGTCTCAGCAAGCTCTGGAAGTACGTCTCGCGGAGGCGGGA